ATTTGCATTTCTTCCTTGGTTTGTGACAGAAAACAACCCAAAATGTAACTCTAGGCAGACGGTTAAATACACAACTGAAATGCATATATGTAAACTATTTTACCTGCTGAAGGATTGGCAATCATTTTCAGCCTATCTTTTTGCGATCCTGTCACATCATAGTCAGGTCCAGAACCTTAAAGATGGAGATCACCAGCACTCAGTCACAAGCATTCAATTATTTTGCTTATTTATTGATCAAACATGTCACAAGCGTCAATTAGCCAAAAGTTTCGGGGCTGCGCATGGTTCCTTTTTCAAGGTCACATAGTTACTATGCTGCCTTGAAGAAGGAAACCTGTGTGGCCCCGAAACGCTGGCTAATTGATGCTTGTGACATGTTACTTCAATTAATAAGCAAAATAATTGAATGCTTTTGACTGAGTGCTGGTGATCTCTGTCTTTACAATTTTGGAAAATACGGCGCCATCCGTGTAATCACTACGAGCACCACAACTACTAATTAAAGTCCAATCGCTGTAAGGAGTGCAGGTGACACGTCATAACACTACAAGGTTCAGAACCTTTCTGCAATCTACACTACACCACTTTGCTCCCTCATGTCAGAGCTGCCCCTGATAACTTCAGGGTTATGGTTTTAGGCTGGGTTCACACCTGAGCGTATTTTTTCTGCTCTTTTTTTTTTGCGTTTTTTAGCATGTTTTTCCATTCAGTGAAACGCGCATTTCACTGGCGGTATGATTTTTAATTTTTTGTCCTTATTTTCTCTATTTTTAATTTTTTTCACTTTTAAACTTCCCGCCGGCTCCGCCCCCCTGCAACGCGGCCACTCGCAAGACATGGAACCCGGAAGCTGTAAAACGCCCAGGTGGGAACCATGCCCATACGCAATTATTGGTTTTCACATGTTGAGCGTTTTACAGCGCGTAGGAACGCGCTGTAAAACGCCCAGGTGTGAACCAGGCCTTATATTCATGATGTAGCAGGAGAGATTAGAAAGCACAAATTCACTGAATGGACAAAGTTGAAATAGAGAAATTTTTGTACTGCAAGATCTCAGATACAGCTTCCTCCCCATCGAGGAGAACAGTGAGCAGCACAGTAGTGATAACACCAGCTCTCATTCCAGATCCTGCGAGACTAACAGAGGCACCTGTGCCTCATATAGTTTCACACTGCATATATATAGCTACTGTATGAGGCTACAGAACAGAAGTTGCTATGCACAAGAAATGCCATGCTATTTTTCAGGAAGAATCAAGACAAAAGGTTAAACTTTCGAGGTACTACTTAGGCACAAATAAAATAGCAAATCTTTCCTTTCTAACTTTAGGTTCACTTTAAATGCTGCAAATTATGTAAAACCCAGGGGTTGAAAAAAAATACATGATACAGTTACATTTACCACATTAGAAATACACTACCTGGCCCAAATAAAAGTTACCACCTTTATTTAGCTAAGAAAATAGGTGGGAGCCTTCCTTTAGATAATTACTGATTAATATGTTTAATCTGGCAACAAATGAGGTCAGCTGCCCACCTGAATATACTGAATGACTAGGTTTTTCCATTAATGGATTTTTTCTTCCCTGATTGCGTGGACATATTTCAAAATGTCATGATTCATCGGGCTCAAATTGTGAAAGAGTGGTTCAGGGAGCATGAGGCATCATTTTCACACATGGATTGGCCACCACAGGGTCCAGACCTGAACCCTATGGAGAATCTTTGGGATGTGCTGGAAAAGACTTTACGCAGTGGGCCGACTCTCCCATCATGCTACAAGATCTTGGGGGAAAATTAATACAACTCTGAATGGAAAGAAATGTTGTGACATTGCATAAGCTTATTGAAATATGTCACAGCGAATGCATGCCATAATCAAAGCTAAAGACGGTCCAATAAAATATTAGAGTGTGGGACTTTATTTTTTACCCTAAGCATATGTATGTCTATCACCTGTTACTTATCATGGGCATGCACACATTCCTTGTGCCTAGGACCCTCTCATTGCTGTTGTATGGTAGAAAAGGAAGAACCGAAAGAGCCACCAGCACTCCAATTGTGATACAAGCACATATTTTATTGATGCATGCTCACATACCCGCATACAATAGTATGGTAGAAAAGGAACACAATTGCTTCTAGGAGTGCCCAGTGGGCCAGGGCAAGCCAAGCCAGGCCAGGCCAAACACAAATGGCCTGCTCCGAGAGGTCAAGTAACGTACAGACCTCTGATTGAAGGAGGTTGACATCCTCTGTACATGTCCCCTGTGCTGGTGCAGGGCGTGGCCGAGGGTGCTAGGAGGCCTACATGCTGCTCCTCATACGGCCGATGAAGAATACGGCAGCGAGGCTGCCACAACTCACTAATTTTTCAGTATCACCCTTGAAACCCATTGCTTTTCAAAAGGTTTGCTAGACTAGATATCACATGAGCAGTCCATCTATGGTATTTGAGGACAGGCTGTACCACTCAAAGACAACTAGCCAACTTTGCCAGCTCTGGAGGCAACAAATACTCAGTAAGTCTGTTTACATGCAGCCAATAGAGTATCTACAGTATAGTATATGTAGCCAATAGAGTATCAGCTCTGAAAGACACGCCAAAAGCTGTCAGTGTGGTGTTGTTGGGGTTCGCCTGTGTATGGAATAGGTGGTATTGTGCCAGGCGTTGCAGAAGAACTGTGAGCACTGTTTCGGGAGCACATACCTGTACACCGTGCTCAGGGTGAGGAGGAAAGCTGTGGAGGTGGAGATCCACTGAGGATATCACAAGACTTCTATGTAGCAAGCTTCCTATATTGTTGCAGGGTTTGTATGTTGGTTGTTGCAAGGTTTGCATAGTGTGGCAAGATTTGTATTCTGGTTGTTGCAAACCTTGTGTGTCAGCTGTAGCCCTCCTGTGCTTACCAGTGGCTGCCCTTTCCCTCTTTTGCGCTTCTGTTTGGCTCCACCCCATATGGGGTGGGGCCTGTCAGGGGTTATGTAATTGGACTGCTCAGTCTAAAATGCATGGATCTATTTTTTGTCCCAATCTGGCCCTGGCTTTGAGCATGGAGTACCTTAATTTGTTTTTTCTTTATGACTTAGCATCTTAAATGCCACCAATATTACTTGTATTTGCCTATGTCACTCCTGTTCCTACAGCACTATGGCTGGTTTTCTAAGGCTGAAGCAGGTAGAAGTTGGCAGCATGCTTTTGCAGGAAGAAAGGGAGGAGGTGCTAAAGAAAGACAGTAGGATTTGCAGGGAGATATTTTCCACTTACGGACTGTAAGCAAACTTTGAAAAAGGAATAATCTAATCATTCCAATGGAGGATTTAACCAGGACTACGACTTTATCCTGTTGGTCTGTGGGAAACTGTCTGGATGGCCAGCATTATCCTGCAGGCCTTATGTTCTTACCCCGCTGTAAACGCATTTACACCATATTTCAGATTACTCTTGCTTCCTGCCCCTCTCTATCTCTGGAAACAGGTACAAAAGATCTCATATATACCATCACTATAGCAAGAAAGGCATAATGTTCCACTTCCATACTGTGGCTTTCTTGACTATTCAGCAGTGCAATAAAGTAATTTAGTAAAATAGCTATTAAAGCAATATATGAGTAACACCTGTTTTGAGAGGCAACATGTGAAACAGTTGTCTCTAAATTGAATTCAAAACATGAATGCAAATTAATGCAAATTAATGCATTAATAATGGCAGTTTAAAAAACAATGTAATAAAAATGTAAATGTTTTATTTTCTCAGAACTGGTCATGCCCTCCTTTACATAACATGCTAATAATTTCTTTATAATTATCTGTTTAATGAAAATCTCTACATGACATATGCTAAAACAGTTGTGAATGACTGGAAAACAAGTACTAAATTAATATCTGCATCAATGAGTGCTTTATTATGAAGTAATTAGTAAGAAGGATCTGTTACCTGCTACAAAAGCTCAATAAATCAATGAATTGTTTGTGTGCATGAGACAAACAAAGTTATATATGGAAAGTGAGCTATATAACTCATCTGCTTTCAGACTACTTGTACACCAATGTCTACTCCTACTATCTACATTGTTAGGATAGCAGGTAACCAAATAAACTTTTTTTCCGTGCTTCTACTTGTGGTTAACCCTTTTTACATGGGCTGATCAGAAGAGGATTCATGCACGGATCCCCTCCTGATCACAGCAGTACGGAGTGGATGTCACCGCTGTGACATCCATGTCTGTACATTTTTTTCCTTCATCTTTCGATGGAGGAAAAAACTGCAATTCTCAGACCCCATGCCAGTCTATGGGGCATCAGATGTAAACAGACATGTTTACATCAGATTATCCTTGATCCGGCACAATCTGTTCCATTTGTTTTTCCAGACCTGGCCGGAGTCGGGGCTAACCAGGTGTAAGCAAACGGCCATGCGTTTATACACGGCTGCCCATAGACTTGCATTGTGCATCTGATCAGACCACTTGAAAAACTGACAGGAAGACCTGATTGGAGCTGCATGTGAAAGGGGCCTAATGCATATTTAAAGCCTATCCCCCGATTTTAAAAAAAGCCTCCCGTTACAATGATGCTACCATCACACTGCAAGAGTTAATGGTCATTTTGTGTCTAGGTTAGCTGTGTAAAGCACTTTTACTTGCCTGATACCCACTCCTGCTGGCTCCAAGACCACCACCCACACCCTCTTTAACCCTCTGCGGACGGAAGAAAGGTGAATGCTGACTGTGGGGGGAGTGGGGATCAGGCAAGTAAAATTCCTTTCCACAGGTACCCTAGACATAAAAAAGCAGTTAAACCTTGCAGTGTTGGGCTGGCCCCACTGCAAGGATAGTTTTTTTTTATAGGCTATTGTTAATACTAAAGATTATTGCTACTAGCTAATCCAATAAGCATTTTCATTTTCTTACCTTATATATTTTCTTAGATATATTGCTTGCACTATCTTTCATGCCTAATAACATTAGCATTTTAAAATGTTTATCTTTTTCTAGAGTCGAATCTCAGAAGAGCTGTGAATAGAGGTTATGTGTGCGTCTTGTTGCATTTCTACCAAGACTGGCACATCAGTGATTCTTCCAATGCATACATTCCGATCCGTAGAGGCCTACTGCGCTGCCTTAAACATATCACCAATGTGCGATCAGGAAGAGAAGCCTTCATACAAGCTCGGGGAATGGAAATACTCTACAATACAGCACAAGTAACTAGAAAGGGCAGAGGAGACACAGCCATGCACTCCATTAACACTGCTCAAGACGTTTTAGTTTTCATACATTGACCTTTTCATAGTCTGCAGTTTTTCACCGTCTGACATCCAAAGTCGCTGGCGCCTAGTATTTCCAGTTTTTAGGGTTTTTTTTCTCTAAGTTTGCAGGTGTTTATCATTTGATGTGTAGCACTGAAAATATATCAAGGGCTTAGATTACATGATATGATGAGAACCAGTATAAAGATTCAGCAGATCAAAAGACTCAATCAATTAGATCTTTTTTATTTTTATTTTAAACCAACCCTATAGAAGCTGGAGCATTGTGAGCTACTTTTAAATTAATAGAAAAAAAATACATTTTTAGGGCAACCCCTGGTGACTCATCAGATCTCAAAAGAAGTTGTCCTCTTTGATGGTAAAAAAAACTTTAAACACAAGATATATGTGTTTGTTTTTTTTACTTAAAATAGTTTTTTTCTTTCCATAAATGATCTTCATTTTTTTTGCAATGTGCCTTTAAACTTGCTTGAAAATGTGACTACTCTAGAAAGTTCCCTAGCACAGCCCCTTCCATCCTTGCACATCATAGTCATCTCTCCTTCTGGGAATGTCTAATTACTGGACCAGCATCTCTGCATACCTTCCTATATATTATTTTATATAGCTGCCAGGGGAGGAGGGAAGGGAAATACTATAGAGTATCACTTATGTGACAGCTCTAAATCTGCTGGGGTTGTTGACATTCCATCCAAGGTGGCTGCAACTAGCAGCACACTAAGGGCTTTTAGATCTCTATACAAAGGAAACTTTTACAGGATATTAATATGATAAAATATGACTACTTTACTAGCTACTTTCAACTTATTAGAAGCAATTAACAATTTTTAGTGAAGTCCTACTAGGACAACCCCTGGTGACTCATCAGATCACAAGTTGTCCTCTTTGATGGGAAAAAAACTTTAAACAAAAGTTATATGAAGTTTGTTTTACTTAAAATTGGTTTAGTAAAATACTGTAAAGTGATAGTGGCAAGCCAATCGTGTGTAATCCTTAAAAAAAATCACAGCTTGTACAACAATATTTTATATTTTTACTCTTTTATTTGGGGCAGACACATTTGTCTTGCGTTTATAGACCTTAATGAATCAGTCATATAAGTACTTGCCCCAAAGGAGCTAACAGTTTAATGTCACCACAATAATTATATACATGGACACACACAGTAGACCAAGTTTACCTAATTAAATTACCTGCATGTTTATTGATTGTAGAAGGAAAGAAGAGCACCAGGAGCCAACTTTTTTGCAAGACACTGAAAAATATGCAAACTGCAGGCCTTCAGCTACCTTGCTAGAAACAGCAACCAGCTCTTACTGTTATCCAAAAACCTCCAGATATTTTTCTGGCTTCCTGTGCATTACCAGATTTACCCAACACATTTAGTTGCCCTCTGTGTGTGCAGTATGTGGCATACACAGCAATGTCAGTATGGCTGCTGGTGTCATAAAACCAAGCTAATGTTGGTTTGAACGCAACACACTTGCATTTCAAATATTTACAGCAGTGAGACAAACAACAAACAGTATTGCTTCATAAATACTAGTATGGTATATATCTTGAAGTCAACGCATGATGATGTATGCCTCCCAGTCACTTAGCATCATACAGCATGCAGTTCACTAGCAGCTGGAGGCATAACACAGCCAAGTTTGTTTTATGTGTGTTATTGATTTCCTTACACATATTTTACACTGCTGCATTTTCTGTTCTCTCCCTAGGAATGTCTGCGTTGGAAAAACCTGGACTCTTTAGTCAGTGCAGCAATTCAGGTTTTAAGAAAATGCTGTCCAAAGTGTACACTGCCACTCTCTAGTATTAATAGCTCCTATACCTATCCGGTGCCTGGAGCAAGCAAGCCGATCACCGAGGCAAAGACGTTCTCCCAAGAAGGTAGAATACAATAAATTAATAAAGCAAAGCTTTCTCATTTAATGAGTCTTTCAGTTGCTTGTAACACCGCATAACATTGATAAACTTTAATGAATCTCTGTTCTAATTATTAAAATCTTGACAATATTGCTTCTCATAAATCATTTTTAATCCTCATAGATGAGTCAGAAGATGAAGATGAGAATGATACAAACTTAAGTGTCATAAATGATGACAACAAAGAGGAAGTGAGTATTCTGTATTTATTCTCATAGGTAATGGATGTGGACCAGGTTCATTCAGTAATAATAAATGCTGTGTTAGAGATAATCCAACATGAACTCCCGCCACCTGCGCCACCTGAGGGTGGGTTTTGAACTGCATATTTTACATTCCAATGTGCCCATATAGTGAAAGTTGAAAGAACCCTTTCAGGGCCTCTGGGCATAACCAGAAAGATTTGTTCATGCTTGGAACTGTAACCTCATCATATGTAGTTGTCCTCTAGATTACTTTTCATATGATAAAATATTGCAGGTAAAAGCACAGGAATTCAGTTAATTTAAATGCTTATTTGCAGTATTTTCCTTTCTATAAATATTGTTTATTTTTTTGCAATGATCGGCTTTTGTAGTAGTGTGATTGGGCAACATTGTCAGGTGGTGGGGCAACATTGTTGGGCATCGGGTCATTGCGATTGATGCTGGATCTACATCTCTGGACAACGTACTTTTAATTACATCATAGAACATTGTTTACTTTGTTTTGCAATAAAGGGCTTTATCACTGTGCGGATGTCTTTTTTTAAACCAAAGGGTAGGGGTCCCCAAGAGGATGTTGGGCTTTGTAGGGGGACTTATAAGAATCTGGGAGCCCCCTTTATAATAATAGACCCCAGATATACACTCCCCCTCAGTGTATTACTACTCATTCCCAAACAATTTAAAAAAAAAAGAAAAAAAACCCACAACGTGATAAAGTCCTGTATTGCGAAATAAAAAAGTAAACAATGTCCCACAATATAAATCCATTCTCAATCACTTTGTGAAGTTATGTAAATCCAGCATCAATCATGATGAGCCGCCACTACGATGACCTACTGTCTGAAGAAGTTTCCCCTCCTTCGCGCGCACGCCGATCTGCTGCCCAATGCTATTGCCTAGGCCGCACTACAGCCGCAAAATGGCATATCCCTGGCTGGCTGTTTGTAAATGACCAGGTCATGACCATATGTCTTGTATGGCCAATGATGTTGCTCTAAAATCCTTGCCTGTTCATTTTACAAACAGCAACTGAGGACTCATGCAAACAAACTGGCTAAACAAGGGCAGTTTGTTCGGCAGTTGGCTGAACTGGGAACAGGCTGGGTTCACACTGAACTTACATTCCAACCGGAATCTGAAGCTTATCCCTAGTGAAGTGTGTGGCTTCAACTTTACCTGCCTAAATAGGTCTGATTTTATGAAATGGTATGTCGTATGAAGGCTGTACAATACAACAGACTTTTCCAGAGACATATTACTTCTCTAACTTAAGATGACGTCATTTAAAATGTTTTCCTTGTTTTATTTGCTTTAAGACAGTGTCTTTATTAGTGTCCATGACCCTGAAACATGAAAGTCAACCCAGGAAGTTTAGCTCACTCCGGAACCCTGCCTGTCACATTAGCAAGATATTGCCACCAGCGTCTTGGTAGCAGTGAACTGTAAAACATTAGAGGTGGAGTTCTGCTTTAATTAATTCTGTTTATTTTTTTCTTTGTGTCACCTGATACCATTCCTGGACTGTTGGATTTGGCAGAATATAGAAGGACTAGGTGCAAAGCTTTTACATTGGCAGATTTTCTTAGTGAGGTCATGAAGGTAAAGGTTAATTAACATTTTCTTTATTTGGTTTCCTCCAGGACAACAAAGTTCATTGGTGTGCTTCTGTTAAAAAAAAGAACAACAATAACAGTAAAAATAAACCTGAAACATTACATATGGAGTTTATATAGCAAGTACACGTCAATGTTTATTAAGTTTGTGTCCAACACAGTACAGCAGTCACGGACTTTAAAAAAACTTACTTTAACAGATTGAATTTTAAATTATTCTCTTTTATCTAGGATGATGATTTGGAAACAGATTTGAAAAAATTAAAGTCAAGACCTATTCCTGATCGACCAGAAAAGGAATTTGAGCAGTATAAAGCATTTTCTTCAGAGCTTTTTCTGTTCAAGGTAAGACATTAAACTTTTGTAAATTATGTAATGTATGTTATGTGGGAACTGTTTTATTATTATGGGAACATTTTATATTTGTTCTTATTTGAAACCTACCCAACCTTGCATGTCCAGCAGTTCTGTAGATTAGGGTGGAAGAGCATGCAGGAAAGTCTTCTCCAAGAGTACATCAGCTTTGTTTGGCCTGAACAATAGTAAAAATCTAGTACATCTCATTTTAAAGTATATTTCCACTTTTGCTGCCAAATTGACATCACACCTACTTTATATATGTTCTATGCTCCCATTCACACAGCAACACATACGCATATATACTGCATGTTGTATGTATCTATATATGCATACAAA